AGTTCGAGGGACTTTGCATGGTCGTATGCGGTTTTAAAATCCAGCGACTTATGTTCCAGCAGTCTCTGGCGTAAAGTATTGGGATAAAGTCCACTAATAAATGCATCTCGTAACGCTTCATCGGTATACTGTTCTGCACTGACGGCTGTAAAGCGGCAGTCTGGCAATAAACTGCGAAGCTTCTGCACAAACTGATCAAGGTTCTGAGCTCCGTCCTGTTTGCAAGTGTTCAGAAGATGCCGTGGAAAAAACTTCATTTTTTGGCTGTACGTAAATTTCTCGCAAGGTTTCGATGGCTTATTCATAGTCTTTGATGATTCGGCAAACACTAGGGGAGACGTAATTAAACAAGGTTTTCAGTTTATCTGATGAATGAGAACCGATTGACTCTAGGAAATTTGTGAAAGTTCAAAACCAATGCTCTCAGGTATCTGCCGAGTCTTGAGTGTTGGGGTCTGTATCGAATCGTTCAGGACGTAAGAATCGATCCATTGTTCGAAGAAAACTTTTTTGGATGAATAAATTTTTGTGTACGACGAGGGTCGGAGTGCAACGACAATCAGAATAACAATGGAAAAGACTGAGGGCCCGAAAGCTAGGCTTTATTCATCCAAAACTTTGACACTGAGAGCTGAAAACGGAAGAAAGTGATTTAGCAATAAATGATGAAACATTTGAAAAACAGAGCAAATATACAACATCAGTATATCCATATTTATGGAAGGAGCGATGCTGCCTTCTTCCGAGAAAGAACGCGTTGTAAAAGTTCGGCCCTAAAAACCGCATACTCCGATCTCCCAGTGGTTGACTCTGACCGTCATTCGCATTATTCAATGCCGTCGAAATACTTTTAAGACCAGATTGCGGTGCTGCTGAAAAGGCACCTGCTGTGCACCGCTGTATTAGAAGTGAGACCGTAGTGCGTTGCTTTCTGCGCCCTCGGGCTAGGCCTCCCCCTTGCAGCCAAGTGGGTCAGACAATTTAGTCATCGGCTTCTGGAAGCATCCCCAAGAAAACCGTAGCAACCGCTGTGCCGCTGTCCAAACCCTTGAGTCAAAGGCCAGGGGCAGATTTAGAGTCGATGACGGACTTAGGGGTAATGGTGCGCAACTGCTTCAGTTATGTGGAGATCATTGTCTGTTCTTGGCCAGTACGAACTTCCAACACAGACGCTCACATCGAGCTACTTGGAGGTCACCTATCATAAGACAGTCATGGCTATCAGTTGCCAACGGAGAGCCCCAGTTAAGGACTACCCTTCCTTCTGGGGTACGCAACTTGACTGATCGTGCTATCGTGCAGTTAGCACTTCTCTTTCCGTCAGCATTACGTGTGCCAGAAAAAAGCAGTTCCATTCATCAACTTCGATGTTTTTCAGTAGCCAAAGAGTATTGTGCTGATCTGGCTGGAATGCTACCATAAATGCACAGTCATACAGATGACGAGGATTGCTTGGAGGCTGAATGGAAGTGAGTTAAAGAAGCAATCCTCTCAGCTTTCAGACCTGTTTGTCCAGGCCATCTGACTAGACCAAGTGAACATTGGATATCTTAGATCAGCAGATCTCATTGCTGCTAGAACGGTCATACCAACAACTAGCGACGATTATGGCATAATCAGCTCCCTCAAACGCCAGTTAATCAGGAGCTTGAAGAATGAGAGAGAACCCTGATGGATTTTGAAGGCCCGGGAGGAGAAGAAGGCTTCCGCTGCAGTCAACAACCGCATCTCGTTTCAACTGATTCGATCAACCGATCAAAAGACAGGTGTCAGTGAGACAATATGCGAAAAAGATGGAACAGCAATTCACTCCCCCAATCGCCGTCTTGAGCGGTGGGCTGAACATTTCCAAGAACAGTACAGCTGGTCTCCTTTAGCCCAACCGCTGTAAGAACCCAGCTGGTGTGAAGAGAACACTGACACCCACCCGCCATCAGCAACCGAGATCCAGCGTAAGATATAAATCCGGAAGAGCCACAATGCACCTAGCCCGGATGATCTGCACCCCACAGTCTTCAGAGAAGGGGTCGAAGTCCTGGTGAACAGTCTAACATGCATACCGCAGAAGATTTGGAACGAAAACAGCATACTAGCCGAATGGGGCTCCTGGACCATCATTCCAGTCTTCAAAAAGGACACAAGACCGTCATGTGAAAACCATCGTGCTATCAGCCTGGTATCCGTCGCATCTAAGATGCTCTCTAGTGATATTTTGCGCAGGTTGATGAATTACCGTGAGACAGGTTCGTGAAAACCAAGCTTGGTTTCGCCGTGGTCGAGGGTGCCTCCGCCATACCTTTCTTGAACAATGCCCCTCCTCCATACGCCCACGTTGGTCGTTTTTCTCGATTTTGAAGTTACTTTTGATTTTGTGGATCGTCAGAAACTTGGCAGTATCTCGTGACCAGAGGTGCCCTGTCTAAATTTATATATCTCTTGAGGACACTGTATGTGATTCGCTGTGGACACCCACGAGTATACAGAAAGATTTCACCTGAGTTTACCACATCCAGTAGTGTAAGACAAGGCTATTCTGTCTCACCTCTCCACTTCAACTTTGTTACTGATATGCTCCCTGAAATTTCTCCCTGGCTGTGGAACTTGCGGAGTCGAAATGTCCTTTTTTCGCTCCTTTTGCTGCGCTTCCCAAACTTGCGCTGCCACCTTGGCGTGACGGTCGGTGTTGAGTGCTGCAGTGGTGTCGCAGACTATATTGGCTGGAATTTGGTTCCACAAGGGCAACGTTGTCAGGAAGGCCCAATGGGAACAGTCAAATCATAATAGGAGGCGGTCCCGGGGGTAAAATCGTACTGTCGTCTGCGATAGGAGTGTGAAGGTGGGAAATTGTTTCCCCTAAGCGACCAACATATCCATATTCATCGAAGTGGTGGTGCCGCTTCACATTTAAAGATCGTACAATTCTGTTGCAGGACTGAGTGGGCTGGAACTCTAACGTTATGCTTGCTGATTGAGGTAGTAGGTAACCTCACCTGCTTGGGCAGATCTATTAGTTCTGGTGGCTCTCTAAAGGTGATATTTCCATCCGGATCAGAAGGCTAGGCTTTTGTCTCTCGCTTACGTCATCCATCCGTTTTCGCGGAGATTCCCAACCGTCGTTTTTCCACCTAATATCTTGTGTCTATCCTCACGAGTCAGCTGATCCACTCCGAAATTCGGCTCAGTATGTTCGTTTTTCAGAGAGACGGAAATATTGCAATTTTGTCGTAATATAACATGTATACTTACATCAATCTCTGTTATTTGTCTTTTCAGTTGTTTGGCGCACTGCTCGACCAAGGAGGCCGACTACAAACCCAAGCCACGTTCCATTTCCTAATTTTATTCTGCTATGACCACATCACAAAAACACAGAAATTTCGTCACTGAGCCAATAGGCGACAAACTTGTCACTGAGCTACCTGGAATTGGTGAAAGGCTTGGAGAACGCCTAGAAGCTAAGGGCTTCGAAAAGGCTTCCGTTGTTCTTGGGCAATTCCTACTTTTGCGGCGCGATGAGGAGTTATTCAAGGACTGGTTAAAGGAGGCTTGTGGGGCTAATGCCAAGCAAGCCGACGACTGCTTTACTGCACTGCGAGATTGGTGCGGCTCGTTTATCTTCTAAGATTTTTGTCGTTTTTTATGTACACTTGTGCGTTTTGTTGGATCACACTCCCGAAGATCAAATCCTGGTTACTCCATATTTCTTCGTTGGCCAAACGGCTGAACTGGCCTCATTGCCCTCATACAATCAAATCACCTACCTGTTTTCGTTCATACGTCACTTCGCCCTGTAAATCACTATTTTCTAAAGAACCTCGCAAGTTGTTTTATGATATTCATAACTTGTTTATGTGTCCTGTAATTTTGCTAAGCAAAAGCTTTGTTGTAAGAATGTAAAGAGTGACGAACCTCGAGAGGAAGGCGGTGGATATTTTTGCATGCTGTGACCAATTCACGAAGCACTGATGTTATCTCGTCTGGCTATCAATGGCGGTTTTTCCTAATTACAGTCTGGCTCTTGAAACTTGGGTTTTCTCTTATAGATGACGGTTGTAACTCAGTGGTTAAGGCGCGAACTTACTGACAGGAGCGTCCGTAACTCATCTCCGTGGCATCTTGACTTTTTCCGGCAGTATCCCAATCCTTGGGACTTACTGAAGGAGCGTCCGTAACTCATCTCCGTGGCATCTTGACTTTTTCCGGCAGTATCCCAATCCTTGGGTGGCGTGACAGCTAGCCGCCTAAAGAATGTTATAAGTGAACCATTATTTGTTTCTATTTTTTAATCTAGTTGTGTGTATTTTTTTGGGGATTGAAGACTGACAAAAATAACCCTGATGAACTCTTGCAGTCAACGATTTCCATTCGGAATGGATTATTCATATGCAGTAAGACACTATTTCAGGGGCCACAGTTTTTTCCTATAAGGTGTGGCGGCCCCCCCTAGACCATTCGGTGGGAGCGGCTTAACTGATCTTGCTTTAGATAGATGGTCTCCCTTGGGAGGGAAGGATACGGTGCCTTGTTCGTATCACAATTTCAAAGTCTTGTCATTCAAATTTGGTAACAATACATTGATGCACTGAAGCTTTTGCATTGATATTCTAACCCCCCTTTATGACACGTGCAATACAAAAGGTCGCTCGTAGTGAACGCCTTTAGTCGCCCACGGACATCACAGCAAGGGTTCTGGTAACCACATTAGGAAGTCACCACTTTACAAAAGCCCACTGGCATTGCAACTTCGCTTTAACAACAGCTGTTGTGTGATCACGTTGCAAATATTTTACATTATCCAGACCACAGTATATTGTATATACACTGAACACGTACTTATAAACGCCACCATTGCGATGCGTTCGTAGAGTTGTCGCTGTGCTTGCATCGTCTTAAACCCAATTACAGAAATACCGTAAAATGCAGGTACGTAATACGGATCTTCGTTGATTGACCCCTCCCCACACATCCTTCACTCAAATCCTTCTGATTCATTTAGCTGTCAACCACCTAACCGTTGCTTGGTATCTAAGCCTCTGCCAAACATGGTAAATAAAAATGAACCCTTATTAAATTCAGAGGACCTGTTCCACATTGGTTCTTTGAACGCCCGTACCGTGTGGCATAGGGAGCAGACCTTGCCCTCTCGGTGTGTGTTGTGTTTTCGAAACGCGCACACAATACCCAGATTCGGTTATACACTTCGAACTGCTTTCTGTCTGGCGATCCTGAGGTAACGAATCGTGGTATCTATGGCTTGGGATTTGTGCCTAGCCACAAAGTTGATTGTGGCTTACTGGAGTGGATTCCAGTAAACAGTCCTCTTGGACTGATTCAATCAAGAGTAATGCATCTCGAATTGACAAAAGTTGTTTGTTTTTTGTGAAGCAAGCGCTCCGACAGAAGGTAGCTCTAACGTTAAGACAGCTATGGAAGTTTGTCACGGTTACTCCTGTCAGAGAGAAGCACAAGTATAGTGATTCTGGCAGGTATCCTGAATGGTCAGTCCTCACTCCTGAGGAAGCCCATCCTGACGGCCGGCTCCGTGTTGATCCTCACTACACAGACAATCGAGAACGAATTCTTATTGCGTGCCGAACATCGTTTGTTTCTAGCCAATGTGAGCACTCATACCGTGTTACTTAGAGTTCACCGACTGAAAACTACCTATTGACTCAGTTGAACCATGTGGCAATCAGCTACAGCTCGGGAGCTTTCATGCATGATTGTCGTTTATGTTGGAGTACAACGCTGCACTGCACGGTATTATGCGGGCACAAATATCCATTCGTTTTTCCTCTGCAGCATTCCGGTTAATGCAGCGCCACTCAGTTCGTCATCTGCAAAGCGTCTCCGTAGCTCAGCAACATCCATCTGAGTTGGCTGAAAAGCCACCAGAATTCAACGGGACCACTGGTAATCCTGAGGACGATTGGAGAAAGGTGAACGAAACAGTGCTCATACTTTGGAATCATCTGTTCGAGGTCTCTCGCACACCCCAACCAACACTGCATTTCCTCACGATCAGCACCTCTCACGGAAGCTAGGAGAACTATACCAGCAACAAACGGCTGTGACGGCGTATGACGAATAATGCAGAACCTAAGGATTGACAGTGCTCGTGGACTGTAAATGCTCGTTAGACAGAAGAGCGTTTTGAGACGGGGGACAATCGCACACTGTTCCAGATAATCCGATCAAATGTTCCGAAGAGGATGGGTATCAGTTAAATAATGTCCGAAAAGGACAGGACCTCGATACATTCACAAACGTTGTCTTGGACGATGGGCTGAACAGTAAAGGACAGTTCCGCTGGACACCAACTCACCTGCTGGAAGGAACAACTGAATCCCAGTGAGACGTAGATAAAAGCCCGCCATGGTTGACGAAATCCAGCTTGTAATTTCATTGCTTCGGCACAACGAAGTAGCTGCTCTAGATGAAATGTATTTTGCACTCTTCAAGGAAGTTGGCGATTCCGTTCGGGCTTATTTAACCACCCTACTTCAAAATTTTTGGAATGAGGAAACAAATTTCACATGGATGAGGCGTCTCAGCGGTGTTTCTCCTATTCGAAAAGGAGTTCAATAACATCGTGCGAAAACCACCGGGGCATTAGCTCAGTGGCTACAGCTTCCAAGGTGCTCTCTCGCATTATCCTACGCAGGTTGATCCGTCATCGGAGGATTCGGATTTGCGAGAAGGGAGCTGGGTTTCGACTTGACAGAGTTTGCATCGACCATATCCTCACCTTGTTAGGAGTGTTGGAACTGTTCTGCGCCTTCCAGCGATCCACAGTGGTCGTATTTCTTGGTCTTAAATATGTTTGGCTCCGTGGATCGTCAGGAACTTGCAGTATCTGGTTACGAAGGATGTTCCTTCGAAATTCCTGTCTCCTATAAAGAATCTATTTTCCTCCTTTCGTGGGCGCGTACTCACCTGGGTTCATCACACCCAGTGGTGTCAGGTAAGGTTACCCCATCTTGCTTACCTCGTAATCGATACGCTGCTTGAATCTTTACCCGACTTCTTCCCTGAATCTTCTTTACCTCGTGGAACGTTCACTCACAAACATGGAGTGCACCGAAGAAATTGCTGCTCTTGGATCAGAAACTTTAGAAATGCAAACTATTTTAAATTATTCAAATAATTCTGCTACACAGCTTGGTATGCGCTTTGCAACTGTACAATGTAAAGTATTGCTGCAAGAGTGACTTGGATCAAACCCAAACCCATGCCTATAGGTGAATTAATCGACGTAGTAGGTAAGCTTTTTTCTACCTAGGCAGCTGCATAAGCCCCGGCAGTCTGTTGAAGGACGAAATCACTCCCCAAATCTGGAAGGCCAGGGTAGCGTTTGCCAACCTCTTTCATTTGTGGCTCCGACGTGACGTGATCTTAACTGTGAATGACTGTCAACTGACTGTGAAATGCCGTGGTCCGATATGTCCTAATTTATGTATCGGGGACATGGACGCTGCGTGCGGAAGATCTTCGAAGTTCCACCATGCCTCCTATGCATTCCGAGGTCCTGTAGGCTGGGGTACGGCAGTTCATTATCCTCCAACAGAGCAACCGGTTAAGACCCACAAATCACGCTGGTTAGGCCGTATACTAATTGTAGCTAACTGCAATCCCCGCTCCAATTCCTTGGTGTGAGAAGACTCACCAACAAGGAACACAACAGCTTTATTGCAAACAAGCGAGTGCAAAATTTACAAGGATTACTGCGGTATTTAAAGGGCACTTTCGACGTTGAATCCAGGCTGTCGGAACGGCGCCGGATGATCGCATGGTGCTGCTTTTATGACGTTTCCAAATACTCACCATCGTTGGCCGTTGCTGAACTGATTAACTACTTGAGCGTTCAGTCGGCAGTTGTTTTTTCTGTCCCGGATTCTTGACGGTTCCGCTACTGCGATATTGGTGGAGTTTGAGGATCCCTGTAGGTTTCGTGTATTCGGGGATTATTTTCGGAAATCTGATCTTCCTGACAATACCTCATATGCCTCACATGCCTCGTTGAGCCCTCTTTGCCCAGCCTTGTGTCAGATGGGAATGACTCAGGAGTGGTCAGTCCGTGAACTGGCAACGAAGCATGAAAGTGGTTACCAATCAGCTTATTTGCGTTGGAAAATGCTGTCTTCTCGGATGGGGACCGCGAAACGATCGAACCAGTGGTTAGTGACCCCGATAGAGATGGTTGTCACACATCCAACAGCTGTCTTGTATCAAAGCTATTGCATTCACCGCGTAGCTCAAGCCCGGCCACACCGGATGAACAGAACCAACTAACTGAACTGATTAGGCCATCACTCCCAACGCTGGTCCCTCGTCCCCTTATTCTTCTTATCATCGGTGAACGAAGCTATAGCTGCTGGAACCACTGCACCACAGTGCACGATTTGGGCCGAAAACTGAACTGGAAATAAGACTTGAAAGCCCAATCTTGTCGTCACCATTCGCGAAGACCGACTTTAGGATTTTTGCGCTGTGTGCCAAGAGGGAATTCCTTATATGATGAAGGAATTTGTTTTTCAATGTAGCGTGTCACATGTGGATTGAGCCAGATGGTATCAATTTTGTACCAACTGAAATCGATCTGTCTTACAGATTGGTTATGCTCTTGGGGAACTTCTGGAAGTTCTTGCTGATTTTGTGGAATGTTGGTAGCTGGATGAGCAATTGGATCGAAAACGTTCCGTCAACAATCGAAAAGTCGGTGGCGAAAATACCGGGAATTAACGCAGTTTTAACCGAAGGTGCTCTCTTTTGGGGTCATAGCGTGTGAAAGAAGCTTTAGGAGGCCAAATAAAAGTTATTTCTTGCAACATGTCACTGCTGAGGATGGTCTGCCAGAGAAGGCAGTCTAGAATTCTATTAGGTCTGCTTAGTTAAGATAAGTGTTTGGCAGGTGATGACACTGATGTACGTAACGCGAAGTCATGAACCAATATTCTACGTTGGGATTCTGTATCACAGTATTCTGAGGGCTGCAGCCATCTTTTTATGACTCAAGCCGTCCAAATTTGAGGAACCTTTTTGGATGGAATTGACTGTCATAATAAATCACTTATTTGGCTTGTGTGGCATACCTGATTCGTAGACGTCTTCCCTGAAGAGACCGTAGTTTAATTCCTCGATATATTCTCTCCAGGATTAACAGCTGTACGTGTCACAGTCTTAAGAATAAATATGCCATATTATCACTAAGGATCCATTGCTTTACTGCTCTTCGGAAGTGTATCTTTACACTGATTGCCAGTCAATAGACTGACCGACATAGTGTTTCTTGACTCTCCTTATGAACTGAGATCACCCCAGTGTCATCTAAAAACAGTTGGGTGCGGAGGTCAAAGCCTTAAACTTCTGTTGCTTACGTTGTCGTGCTCTTGAAAAGCGGTATGTCATTGTCCTCATCATTATCAGCTGTAAGAAACGCGTACCTGGTTATAGCCATGGTTATAGCTGCTACAGTTACATCCATCGATTATTTGGGGAGGTGGGGTAGGTAGCTATGCATTGTAGGCGGAAGCTGACAAATTGGTTAGAAAATACAGGACGGACAGTGGACTTTCAAGTGGAGGGTTGGGAAGGAAGCTATACACTGAGGGCAATAGTCCGGATGCACGAGCGCCATGAAGGGCGCGACTGGGCCATATCTGACAATGTGTCTTGTCCCATGGTCCCTAACCAGGAAGACGGCAATGACCGATGCAGCTGAATTTTCTAAAAATGTCCTTCATACTTCGCTGCCAAGTCGTTGTTTGACATCCCCTTCACATGGTTGTGCGAAAGAAACACTTCGAGGGGTTCGGTCGACTGGCATACGGCATATGTTAGTCTATCCCAGGGAAACTGCTACAGCTGACCACAATTTGAAGTGATCGTTTACTCCTTTCAAGGTAGTATATGGCCTGAAAAGCAAGTAAGCCATCGGGAGACTATCTGTATGGGATGGCTTTCAGTTAGTTCCTCAAATCATATTTCACTGATATCTCATCTCCCGGAAAAGGTTAATTTGCCGGGAAACCACCTTCTTTCGGTCTTTTGAATTGTCCTCTCGAATAGGTCACTCCTGAGGGTCTGTCATATGATATATGATATGACCCCTCGGACGAACTCATCGGAAGTTGTTTGTTTCGTTGCAAATGAGTATGTCTCGCTAATTTCAGTTCAGGTTGCAGTGGTAGGTTGCAGTGGGTGTTCTGCTATTCTACTCCAAGTTAGCGCTGATTGTGCCGAGTTGAGTGCAATCTAACCTCGGTCTGGATTCGATGACAGGTTTCAGAATACGTGTCATTTAGTATCCAGTCCAAACGCTTGCACCTATCTAGTCCACAGTCGCGAATTTCTCAACCTTTCCTGTTTCCACAAAAAACTGCATTGTTGCAGCAATCCACTAGCCCTGTAGCATCCACAGGATTCAAGTACTAGATGTTCATGTGACCAGTGTGACCGTGGTTCAGAAAGCTCTAGCTATGAACCTAACTTGGGAAAGGAAGTTACACTAATGCCTGTCTACCCTTGCTCTGCTATGTAAGCAGAAACTACCAAAAATCGTTCACTAATCAGGGTTGATATCACAAAGAATGAGGTCGAGAGGATGCGTACTACTGTGAACAAAAGCAGCTCCATGTCCTTTA